GCAGGAACCCCATTCGGCACTGGCGCAAACAAATAGGTTGTCGTTCCGAGCTGGCGAACAAGGGCCGGGGCGGCCGTTTGATACTGGGATCAAAGCCTGGCCCATGCCAAAGTCAGTTCACCACGGCCCACTTGGAGCTTCTGGAATTGTGGACGGAAGCAAGTGGGTGGGGGGGAGGTGGTGGTGCTCAGAGTGCGAGAGTGCAATGGCACGATTGCGTTTGCAGGAAGCCAGGCATCTGATTGTTGTCGCTTGAGACCTTGGAGCAAGCCATGTGCACATCCACATCCGATGTGTTGGCATCTGGGATAAGCGGGCTTCGGAGGCTTGGGCATCGGAAAGCACACTCGAATCTCACAGCCGTTGCCGATGTTGTCTCCTTTCGGCCCCCAGGAGACAAGTGAGGCGAGAAGCAGTGGAAGATTCGTAGCATCCATCCCGAGAGCGTGGCTTGTATTGGATATGGAAGCGAGAAAGGAAATTGTCGGTAATGCAGTTGCAAGAGGCAGGACAGTTTTGGGTATGGAGAAGAGGCTTGGCGAGGCCGCTGACGATGCCGGTTGTGCGGTGGATGTCATGTGGATGGACAGAGCGGGACTTTGAGTGCTGCAGGTCGTTTGAAAGGGACCTGACTCTGCTTACATTACCTAGGTTGAGGTAACACTGGAAGCGCGGCAGGCCCACCCGCCTTCCTGCAAAGCGCCTACTTCAACGTCAGAAGTCGAGGGGGTGAACCTGGGAAGAGAGAGGAGGCAGGCAGGCAGCTGACCTCATTATGTCCACGTCGATGGTGGACATTGGATCGGTGCTTCCTCAAAGACAGTGCCTTCGGATAAGAACCTTGAAGATACACTGTTCGGCTGTCTGATGTGTAAGGTAAGGCAGGTACGAATAGAGGAAAGAGATGAGGGCCCGACGTCTCTGCCTTCCTTGGGTTGTTTTCTCGTAAGCTCGGTCAGTGTCGTTGCAGGGCAGGCGCGGCTTGAAGTTGCCTTCCTGGTACCGACTTACATATCTCGTCTGGAATAGGAAAGCGCAGGGTTGACCGGACAAGCTGATGGAGGGTGATACAGGGCGGGCGAGCCGCTCCTTCCCTTCCACCATCCCAACCTACTTAGTACCTACCTCATTACCTTAGGTAGGTACACTACATAGTAAGTGCCCGCAATGCGGCTGCCTTCCATGCCGTCGTCTCGCGACGGATCGAGACAACGCCTGGCCTGGCCCCAACAACACAATCTGGTCGTCGTTGGAACCAAATCTGCACCTGTCTCATTTTGGACGCAAAAAAAACCTCCAGGCTCACAACAAACTGCGGATGCATGTGTATTTTCAGCAGCACCCGACCTGTCATTCTCTCGTCGACGCAACTGCACCGACGGGCGCCACCTGGGCGGGATCTGCCCCATCCCAACCCGCAGCGCCGCTGCATCAACTCACGCAGCCTCATCTCAATGACGTCAGTACCTCGGGAACCACCTCTTGTCTCTCGGCTGCTCCAATTGCCCGCACATCTGAATCGAGGCGCTGCCGTGTATCAGATGCACCTCCTGTCCTTCCCCAGATCTTGGATGCCGCTCGTTCAGAGTCACATGACCGACGTGTCACGCTTCCTCCAGCCACCCCTTGACAGCGGCGGATCAAACTTGTGGCCATGACAACCTACCTTCCTCACACCTACGACTTACATGAAGGTGCAATGAGGGTTGCCGTCAGGCACTGTCTGTAGCAGTTAGCGCTCGTCGACTCAGCCGGCGCCAACCGATTTTGTTGCCTCCTCTCGGGCGGGCTTGGAACCCTCCACCCAACGATAGGGCATCTACGCCCTCGTTTGCGTTCGTCCAACTACGTTGTTTGCAATTCCGTCTTTACCGGACTCCAAAACGCCGATGGTCTACGTGGAAGTAAGCTTCTCACATTTTGTCAACAACGACATTCCCTGTCTTAACCGATACACCCAAGCAGATCCCATGGGCGGGTGCCACAGTTGACCTCATCTCGCAGAGTAGCAAGCTTACGTCTATCATTATGATCCAACACCCTCTAATTTTGAACCTCAAAGCACCCAAAATCCTCAGCATCCCTGAGCACACATCATTGGACAACCGCTAGATTGCTCCCGCCTGGCTCTACGGGCGGCTTCCGGTTGCCCTTCGGTCCCAATGCCCCGAGCTACCCACCCTATCCGTCACTCCGGTTAGCCGTTCGAGACTCGGAATCGATTGAATCGCTCCCATCTACGAAATAATTTCTGGCCGCGAACAGCTGTTGATTGGTTGTGTATGCCTATACGCCAATGGTCAACTGCCCTCACCGCGGTTCGGTAAGATGCGGTCCTCCCTTCCTACCGGCCACAACGGACATGGGGTCCTGGCCATGGTTCGATGTTCGCCCTGGCGAGAGCCACACTCGGTGAAGTTGGGATGATTAGCTTCACACCATCTTCACCAAGCGAGAGCAGTGCCGGTCAAATGCCAGAAGGCCCTGCTGCACCACAGCTGACTGCCCAACCAGCGACCGGCCTCGAGATGATGTGACTTACTGGTCGGGGTGCAGACGCACCTTCACCGTTTGATACAGCCTCCAACGCTGCACCTCGCTGCAAGAAGCAATTATCCGCCGCCATTGAGCAGCATCAAATCAAATGCCTTCATCTCTGGGCGGAAATCTCTTCTCGCGACCCTCCCATCACCAAGAACAACGTTCATTTGCTGTTCTTCCAGAACACACTTCGCAAACTCCACATACGCGCCATCACACGCGCAGGATTCGACTTGCACGTCGCAAAAACCTCTACAAACACCTTGGTCAATCTCTCCAACAATGGGATGCCAACCCGTCCCACCTTGTCAATGACGCGGTCTCTTCCGCACCAAAGCTCACACCTGCTGTGGGGACCTTGCTTATCATAGATAGGCATAGAGGAAGTCCTGGTGGTGTTGAAGCTCGCCTGCCACTCCCGTTTGCAGACAGACTCCGCCGCTAGGCATCTCAACAACGACAGGCATTCTCGAGACCACGCCATATTGCACCTGAATACTGACGGGCCTCCTCAAACTAAGGCGCTACGAAGGCTTGCCGGGATATTCAACTCGCTCTCCAGAACAACCGTCCAGCGCCGAACAAAACCAGGAGTCTCCGCTTCGTCCATGCTGGCTCTCAGCATTCCAGATTCCCATATCGACATGAGACCTGCCTAGTAGATGAGGGCCAATCATATTGCCTGTAATTTTCCCATTGGAGTTGCAACCAACAAGGACAGGGCCGTGGCTTTCACAAACGGCAAACCTACACATGCCTCTGCCATCAACTATCACATATGACAGCGTCGGCTTGTTCAGTGATACTGGGAAGACCAATCATCCCGACCATTCCTCGTGTGCTCCGCAGCTTGCAATTGTCATGTCGGAGTCACTGTCGGATGTCACCGGAACGGCTCTAAACTTACTCCTACAAAGGTTTTGGTCACCCGAAAACACCAACGCTGTTTAGCTACAAAGTACAATCAGAGCGTAATGGCCATAGTATCATGTCGGTGACAACCGAGGCCACGTTTCCTACCACGCCAACTTTTGCTCAACATTTCAAAGTCGAGAACCCTGGCAGCAACAATACGATGGCGTCGTCAGAATCTCAGCTGGCTTCGTTCCCGCCCGGAGCGCGAGAAACATCCTGATGGGGCTGGCCCCGTTCCGTTGGTAATTGTCCTTCACAGGGGCTGCTCCAGACAAGACCCGCCTCCTACTTGAGAGAGGCCCAAGCCCTCGCGTTAATAGGCTTCTCGAAGCCGGAGAAGATGCAGGCGAGAATGGATCCCAAATCCCTCCATGGCCATGTTCGCGGATCCGAAGCCAGCCCCTGCAAGGGCACTATTCCGCTATTAGGAGGACGGCATCTCCAACCCCACCATCAAAGCTCACACACAAAACCACAATGACAACGGCCGCATGGCCTCGGCGAAGCTAAGGGGTACAGAACACCAGGCGCATCCGGCGAACTCCTCCTTAATGACCTGAATGAGACGATGGGCGAAGGACTTGTGCACCATGACGATACTCTACGATCCACCACCTTGCCCCCCAGCAATTTCGATGTTGCGGGGATCTTCAGCCTGTCCGTGGCCTCACGGGTCGCATCCCCTGTCCGGCGCGCACATCTCGCCATTGCCTGATCCAACCGAATATTTTTGGCATGATGGGGGATCCACAGGGGAGCAAAGAAAACGTCTGAAGTCATGGCCGTCGTAACTGCCGCCCGTCTTTAATCAGAGCCAGGAAATTCGGCAACGGCAGGGGAGCACACAGTTCTTCATGCGCTCGACACGAAGCGAACGACTTAGGCACATCGCCTATCCGCGTCGCTCTGCCTTTTGAAACCCTTGCCGCTGCTTGGCTTTATTCGGATGTCGGCGAGGCCAGAGTCGATCCCCATTCGGACCAACTCGCTCTTCGTCGACGCAGTCTGTCCTGATCCGAGGCTCATCTTTCTCCTGTCTGAACCGTGGCTTCTCGAGCCGAGAACAACATAGATCCCGGGGCGGTTAGTCACCGTCGGCACAACCAAGTTTACCAGGTTGCCATTGCCATCTCGACCAAACTTCACTAGGGTTGAATCCCGGAATTGCGGTGTGCAATGTGCGCTGAACCCAACTAGAATCCTCGTCTAGACTCCCACCCCGGGAAAGAACAAAGTGATGATACCATGGATGGTTTTCTTCCGGTCGACTAACGCTTGACGGCTCGGCGCGTCACACTCTCGCCTTGTCATACTCCCTGCGAAAATACGATGGCGAAAATCACCGATGACGTTACACTTTTTTTTCTCAACTTCGTTCGTGCCGCGCGTACTCCTTGCCAAGGAATTTAGAGTGCGCGTCAAAGCGGTTATCCAAATGCTGTTGTTGGTATTGGGCATGTTCTGTCATATTCTACTTTTGCCATCTTGCGTGATGCCGTCTATGTACTGGACCGCGAAGAAGAGTCGGGACGCTTTCCCGCCCGTTACTGTGTGGTATCCTGCGTGTTCGCCTCCGTGGTCGACTCAGATGCTGTGTCGGGAACCACCAAAGGAGTCGGAACCTCGACTATGGTTCCGGGACTAACGGGTTCCTCCTCCTCCTCCTTCTCCTTCTGGATCGACGCTGTTCCGAGGCACTCTCCAACAGCAACCATCTCTTCGGCCGGTGCGGCCTCTGTATCCTCCGCGGCAACCGGTGCGGTATCCGTAGTTTTTGGCTTGGCCCTCAGTGACTTCATTTCCAGGCCCTCGCTGTCACTTTCCCTTCTCTCATGATCTTCAAACGAGAAGAGGTCCGATAGGTTGATGGCTAGGAAGGTCTTGGGAAGCTTGACTCTGTACACAACTGTTAGCAAGTGAAGATCTTGCAACTCAACGCACGGATACTAGTAGCTCGCCACCGCGGGAAGTTCGTGGTAACTTACTGGTTGAACTTGGCTCGCAGCGTGCGGATCACATGCATCCAGTCTGCGTGGGGTGTCAAGCTGCGACGCGGCGCGCAGCTGATGCTGTGCTTGCTGTCGAGCTGCACGTCCAGAGGGTCGTAGACGTGGCATCCTGGACTGATGGTGATCCTGATGCTATACGCAAAAGTCTGCTCCTCCCCGCCTTCGGGGGCGTTGGAGGGCGTCTTGATCTCGGACTCATACAGCTCGAAGCAGATCTGCGAGAGATAGTCAAGCTCGGGAATGGTGCTGCGCTTGATCTTCGTCTCAATGCCTCCTTCGAGAATGCAATTGAGAAGGGTGTAAATGTGGGACTCCTTGGTGAAGTAGAAGAAGGACTTTGCGTCATTGGATGCCTGCATTTCCTCCAAATCCTGGACAATCTCCTTGAGCAGCGGCAGCGACGTCAGGAGACCGATCTCCAGCTTTTCGCTATCAGAAATGCCGTACTCCTGTGGGCAGATAAAGTCGAAAAGAACCTTGGCGAGCTGGTAGAGCTCCCGCAGCGGCTCGAACCGGGCATCCGTCTTGGCCTTGGTCTGGGTGGTGCCCTTGTACAGATGGAAGTATTGCTCGGGAGCGGCCTGCTCACCGTTGTGTCGTAAGCCATTCAGGAACGAACGACGGCGGAAGATGCGTCTGACGGAAGTCGAGCTCTTGCTCGCCTCACTCTTGTTATCCGCCTTGTCACTCGATCCCGAAAACTCCCGCTTGTCCTCTCTGGAGTCGAAGGACGCCTTCCCTTCTTCCGAGGTCTTTTCCGTGGCCTTGGTATCCTTGTCCTTGACACCACCGTATTCTTCCTCTAGCATGGCCTTAGGCGGCGTGAAGACCCATTCCAGGAACTGCCGATTATGCAGAGCATCGAACTTCATCGTGTCGTAAAGCTCGGAAATTTTGCTGGGATCGACCTTTTCTCCGTCACAAAACTCCGCGAAAAGCTTCTCCCAACGCTCTCGGAAGAGCTCCGCGTCTTCACCGCAGCACCAACGTGTTTGTATGGTGTTGATCGCATTGGCTTGAGACAATGATGACGACGTTGAGCTAACAGACGTCGACACATCTCCATTATGCTTCTCAGAGCCAGGGTTGGTGATGTGGGTGTTGAGTGAAGCAACAGCGCTACCGTTGTTCAGCTTTGCGTAGTTGTGATGCATCACCCGCCGATGGAAATTCATCAATTGGACGACACGGGTCTGGACCTCTGAAGGCTCTGGCATCTTGTCGGGCCAGGCAAATTGAGACGGTCTCTCGTTGCCCTTGCGCAATAGACCCTTCAGCTTCTTCTTCACCTTGTCCATCTCATCCTTGGCAGCGTTGGAGTCATCGAGAAGGTCTTTGCGAATGGTAATGAAGTCCTCAGGAAGATCTTTGCGGTCCAAGAAAGAAGACGCCCAGATCTGTGCGCTCGTGGTGACACGACGCTCAGAACTGCTGAAAACATGAACCTCGTCGAGAACATCTCTGTTGAGCAGATTGAAGTCATTGCGCATGTTCTCACCCAGTTCCTGTGCTTGGTATCGTGCGGAGTGAGTCGGCTCGCCACCCCATTTGACGATGAGCTGGAGTTTATCCAGAACAAGACTCTCTTCCGCCGCTGTGATGCGCGACATGGTAACACCAGAGAGTGAATCGTGTCTTTTCGGCGCTTTCCGCGACGGAGAAGAGTTATCCGCCTTTGAAGCGCTGTCCTCAACTTCGGACTTTTCTGCGAAATCGGTCTCAACGCCTTCTTTCAGTACCTGGTTAAGCTCGTCTCCAGAAGAAACTGCGACGTCTTCAGTCTTCTTCTTGCGGAACATGGGCTTGATCTGAACTTTGGTGCCCGCCCAGCCACCCTTCTTGACCAGGACGTTACGGAGGGACTTTAGCTTTTGACGATCCTCAACGCCGGCCCTCATTGCGACGTCGACAGCTTGCAAAACGCTCGCCAAGGCCGCCTCGCCAATAAGAAGGACTTCCTCCTGATGTCCTTTCAGCAGCTCGATAAAAGGCGCTGTGTGGAAAGTGAACTTGTACTTTTGCTTCGGGGTACGGTCAGCATGGCGTATGACTGACACAATGCCCTTGAGCTTCCAGGAGTGCTTCGGCGGTGGCGGAGCCGGAGCCTCTTCGGGCGGTGCGGGAACCTCGCCTTGCAGTGAAGGTGTGGCAGAGGGTGTTGCGGATGCTGTGGCGGATGGGACGCTTGCAACGGCCGGGTCCACGATTGGAGGCGGAGGCGGAAGTGTTGGGCTGGTGCAGGAGCTGGTGACTGTTGATGCCAAAGCACTGTCTGCTTTTGGTTGAGGGGCGCTCGCGGGTATAGGCTTGGGCTCTGTTGGCTTCTCGGAGGCAGTCGACATGTTGCTCACAGACTTGTTCTGAGTCGGTGGCGCGGATGCTGGCTGCGATTCCTTCTCCTTGCCTCGCGAAGCCAATGGATCTGTGATCTCCGAAGGGGACGGGGAAGGTGCTGGAGAAGTGACGCCGCCTCTTCTGAGTCTCTCTTTGACAAAGACCTCCTTTAGAATGCTGGCACAATGTTCGTAGTAATCGTCATTATCCTTGACGAAACTCCAGCCATTGACGTCGATCACGTAACTCTTCCCCCCGGCTCTCAGGAAGTCAAAACCACATACTCTCTGGCCAAAAGAGGTGGAAATCTTGCTGGCGATTTCCTTCTCTTCGGCGTTGAGACCGGTAACATATCGAAGCTCCTTGCCATGTGTGTTACGTCTCACAACGCCATCAACAACAGGGGATTTTCTCGTTTCGGCGTGGCAGTAGTTGGGCCCAACAGTGTAGGCTTTGACGTCTTCGGCGTTATCAACTCGCATAAACTTTTCGTAGATGTAGCTGTTCTCTGGCTCTAGAATAGCACGAGGAACGTTCAACTCCGGGTCGTATTCAGAACTCTTGTTCCCAATCTTGCGGAAAAGCCTGCGCGCACCACCACCTGTCGCTTTGGGAAAGTAGATGATGATGTTGTGGTCCTCACCACTGACAGGCTTCTCCACAAATGGCTTCTTGAGTAACGCACCGTCGACGCTGAGAATGTCGCCGTCGTCCAGCAGTTCAACCTTTCGAGGCAAGCGGTTGTACCCCAATTCCTCAGCGTCCAAGGCGATACCCGTAATATCTTTGATGTGCTTGGCCGTGTCTGGCGTTAGAATCGCGGGCCCACCATCGCGGTTCACCTCAATACGCTTCGGGGTTGGCACATTGATGCGGTCCAGGATGTTCAGGCAGAGACGACGATCCCAGAGGATCTTTTGCATGGGAACATCGTTGACGCAGAACGGCTTTCTGGTCTTGACATAGGCGATAGCCTTATCCAGTGGGAAGCCATCCGAGTAGAAGGAGATCAAATAATCGCTGCGAGAGTTTAGTGAGAGAACTACCACAGAAGATTATCAAGCGGTTGGGCGCGACCGGAATGGCCATGGCCGCTTGAACGGGCCTGCTGTCATCTGGAACGGAGCTATGCTGTTTCGGCTCACCGAGCCTTACGGTGCGGGAGGGCATACGGATTACTTACCAAATGGGCCAATTTTCAACCTCTGGTAGGAAAATCAATGTCAGCACAGTCCTCGTTTAAATTTCGTGGGTCTCCCTTTCTGCGCGACTTCTTCTGGTGGTGTTTTCCCTTCTCTTTCGTCCAGTGTATTTTCTTGCTTCCGTCCCATACCCTCCCCCACATTTTCCAGTCCAGGGTGTTGCTCTTACCTTCATCCAAGATGACTTTATCGCCAAATACCACCACATCGAACTCGCGATTCGCAATAAGGCGGTTAAGAATGTTTCTGCTGGGTTTGCTCCGAGCCTTGACGTCCAACGCGCACACTCCAATGACACCCCAGGGAGCTGGCTTGACTGCAGGTGTATTAGAGTTTGTCGGAACACGTTGACGTGGCGCGCTTGTTTCTCTTGACTGACCCTCTTCTTTCTCCTTTCCGTTGTGATAGGGTCCTCGGTCGCTGCTGGGGCTGTGGCTACTGGCGCCCGTGCTTCCACTGAACCTCCGCTTGTTTCTACTACGGGATCGGGTAGGCTGGGGACGGTGGTGATCACGATGAGGACGCTTAATCAGCTCGTGGTGGTTGTGGTTGTGGTTTTCGCGCGCCGTGAGGTTGTGGGTACCCGATGTTGCGGTGGTACCATTTTGTGCAGTGGACGAGGTGGTAACGGTGACGTTGGAGACCTCTGCGCCTGGCTGAGAGGCGTTCGTGACAGGCTTGCCGGACGACATGATTCCAGAAACCGAACGAGGAGCGCCGCCGTCAGAGCCGTTGGTAGAGGCGGCCGAAGATTGTGACTGGACTTGGCCAGGTGCAGATGAGGAAACGACGCCACGAGCCGAGGCCAGCGAGTATACAGAGAAAACGCTGGAGACGGAAGCGCGCTTATTGGGCTCCGATTCGGAAGAAAAAGAATTGCGGGTTGTGAGGGCGGGCTCGGGGAGGGGACGAGATGGGGCGGTGGGATCTTGCTGGTGGCCGGGTCCAGCCATGAGGCGTGGGGTATCGTTTTGTTCGTCGGCGTCGGCGAACTGCAGGGCGGAGTCGCTCCAGGCCTCGAGAGAGTTGTTGGATTCGCGACGGCTGCGGCAGAGAGAGGATCGAGGGCTCTTCAAGGGAACAGAAGAGGGCGGGGGCATGGAGAGGCTGGCGGTTGCGGAGTGGGCGTCGCTTGTTCCTGGCTCAGCATGTCGGCTCTTCCTGCTGGCGGAAGAGGGGAGGTTGAGCGAGTGGGAGACAGAACGGCCGGGTCTGGATCGCAGAGGTAGGTCGGCAGAGGTGGACGTCTGGTTGACCGAGGAATGAGAAGGCGACGAGGGCGGCTGTCCGAGAGGAGAGGCAGGCGCGGCAGCAGGAGAAGCAGGAGCAGCAAAGGAGCGAGCGCTATCTACAGATCGCCGGGTGTTAAAATTTGGTCGGTCCATGTTTCCAGCAGAGAAGCGACAAGATCAGACAGGACAGGCAGGATGGGGGTTGTTGCTGACTCGAGAGTTCTCGATTTTTGGACGCTAGAACCTTGCTGATTTTGCGTGCGTGGGCTTGAACTCTTTGTCCCGCGTGGCCAATGGTGCTCAGTGCGATACAATGCGGCGACCCGGGCTGGAGCGTCGAATTGACCTGACGATGACCCGGGGAGGTTTTAAAGCGCGACGAAGGTTCCTCGTGGGGTGATGAAGTCAGTGACTACTGGCAGGTTTTCCTGCAAGGACGTTGGCCAGTAGAAAAGTTGGAGTTGGAGAAGAAAGAGGCAAGCAATTGGGGTTCGAGGGCGTGCGGTTGCAGTTGCAGTTGCAGTTGCAGTCGCCGTCGCATCCAGACAAAAAGGTTGTTGGAGGTGCAGAGTGACAGCGTGACAGCAGGGAGAGGGAGCGACCAGACACCCGGAATTCCCCTTTCATTGGGCAGCAAAGGGAAGACGGAATTGCAACAGGGACCCTGCCTTGTCCTTCAGCTCAGCTCAGCTTGCCCAGGTTTATCATTATCAGGCCGAGGTAAAACCCCATGTAGGTAGGTATCTTTGCAAGAGGCGACGACGACGATGTCCTGCTGCGAACGTGATGCACCCACTGATTAAGACATTGCCGGCACACAAAAGGCAGCACCCGCCGCCCACGAATGCCAGCAGACGTGGAGGCCATTCTAGAAGCTGGCTGCCAAGATGGGAGGGCACACACGCACACTGAAAAACATGCAGCAAGGAGGGGCACGGGCAATGGCAAAAAGTTCTAGACGTCGCAAAGACCACGCTGCAAGACCAAGGATGACGTTGTGTGGTCAAAACGACGCTTGTACCTAAGACACTTGCTTAGCGCTTCCGGCAGCCAGCGCCTGACAACACGAACTGCTTGCTAGGTACCTTTAGGTATGCACAGTACCTACGCTTTCCGGCGAATGGCAGTGCCGAACGCAGCGTTTGACACCTGCACTTCCATTGACGGTGCGGGTGCTTTTTGCAATTCGCTTTCTCCTAGTCGCCTAAGGTTGTCCAAAGACTGGACGAAATGACACGATGCCTTGCGAAATGCATACCTACCGTCGAGGCCACGGCGCAGCTGCTTAGTTACCATCTGAAGATTCCATGTTGCTAGCATTCAATGGCCAGTACCAATTGAGCTGGAGAAAGTCGTCAGTAGCAGGGGCAGTCGTTTCTGTTACCACATGGAATATCAATCCGTGCCAGGATAGCTTCACCGAGTCTTCACCGCCAATCAAGGTGCTAATGCCTCCTGACTGCCCCCAGGCGCTGTTTACAGACTGGCCCGACAGAGCACAGTGTTCGGTTTCGTGGACTCTGAGAGCCATGCTTCGTAAGCCTTTCAAGAGACGAACACTCAATAACACACGGTGATTTGAAGTTGTATAATTGACTACCAAACGAAGTTGATAGCTTATGCATCAGTCCATAAGAATTGATCCTGCAATAGTGGCCCGGTTCTGCGGAATCGCTCCGGTATCCGGCCCCAGCAATCCGGCGGGGGCGGGGTGCACCGGCTGAAAATCGGCAAAACCACCCCTTGCACCTGATAAGATAAGGATCGAAAAAGTTGCTCGGCCGCGACTGGAGATTTTTTCGACGTGCTCGACGACCGCATCCTGGAGCTCCGTGTTCAAGTAACGTGTAGTTCCACAGCCGCAATGCCTCATTCGGAGCCAGCAGAAGGACCTCTGGTCAAGCGACAAAAGCGCGATGTCGCTCCCAAGGCCTCCTCGGCTTTGCGCCAGTCCTCACGCATCTTCGCTCCCTTTCGCGTAAGTCCCCTTCGTCGCCGTCGCCGTCGCGACCAACGCTGTACTATCAATTCCTTCTCCGGCTGACTCTCATTGCCCTAGACCGTTGGCCTGGTGTCTCCCACAAACACGCCGTTTACATCGATCCCCATGGGAAAGACGACTTTCCAAATCACCACCTCTGTCGGCCGAGCCTTGCAGACATACGACCTCAAGAGAGGTCTCAACCTGATTTTCGTCACTCGCCCCCAGACCCCCGCCGACATTACCGCCACGCTCGCATGGAAGGACAAGGTTTTCGCAGCCTGGGGCGATGGAAGGACCGGTGAGAAGCAGGGTCTTTGGGCCTACAAGCGAGGCAAGAAGGTCGACGAGCTCGAGGTTCCTGCCGACCTGAACGAGCCCATCCAGAAGATCCTGATCTTCGGCTCGTGGATTGTTGGATGCGCCTTGACGAGGCTCGAGGTTTGGAAGTCGGAAACCATGGAGCACTACACTACCCTCCACACCATGGCCAGCGCCAATGGCGGCAACGAAATCACGGGCGGCGTCACCAACATGCCCACGTATCTGAACAAGGTCTTCGTCGGCCGAAAGGACGGCTGGGTCGAGATCTGGAACGTCAGCACCGGCAAGCTGATCTACACCGTTCTCCCCCCTAGCCCGGAATGTGGTGCCGTCACCTGCCTTGAGCCCTCTCCCGCGCTTTCTCTCCTTGCGATCGCCTACGCCAATGGCACGTTGGTCATCCAGAACATCCTGACCGACAAGCCCATCATTCAGCTCAAGGCTGGTCACGAAGACGAGCCGGTGACGTCAATCTCCTTCAGAACCGACGGCATGGGAGCAGGCCATGACGGCAGGAAAGATGGTGTCATGGCTACTGCGACGGCCGCGACTGGAGACGTCACATTCTGGGATCTGAACAACGGAGGCCGTGTCATGGGTGTCTTGCGGAGCGCCCACAACCCGCCATCCGAGGACGGACCTCTTGTTCGTGGAGGCATCAGCAAGATCGAGTTCCTGCCCGGCCAGCCGGTCGTTGTCACCAGCGGACGCGACAACGCTTTGAAGACCTGGATCTTCGACGAGACCCCCTTCTCAGCCGTCCCCCGCATCTTGCACCAACGCAGCGGACACGCCGCTCCCGTCAAGTGTTTGCAGTTCTTGCCTTCCGACTTTGACGGCGCCGACGCCGGCAACAAGTGGCTTCTCAGCGGTGGTCAGGATCGCAGTCTATGGGGATGGAGTATGCGTCGCGACGGTCAAAGCACCGAGCTCAGTCAAGGAAACATCCGCAAGCAGGCGAAGAAGGCCGGTATCCTGTCTTCAAAGGCTCTTGCGCGGGGACCCACTACGACTCTCGAGGACCTCAAGGCTCCCGAGATCACGGCCATCGCCAGCTCTCTGAACCGCGACGGTGGCATCGGTGCTTTACCCGGCAACCACCCGATCTGGCAGAAGCGCAGGGATAACAAGAAGCAGCAGGATGCCGAGGTCAGTGGCATGACCGGCTGGGAGAGTGTTGTCACCGCACACAAGGACGACGCCTGGGCGCGAACCTGGTTCTGGGGTCGCAAGAAGGCTGGCCGTTGGGCATTCCCCACAGGCGACGGTTCCAACGTGTCTACTATCGCGATGAGCCCGTGTGGTACCTTTGCCTTGGTTGGTTCAGTGGAGGGTGGTGTCGACATGTACAACTTGCAGTCCGGACTTCACCGCCAGCGGTTCCCTTCCAAACTCACTCCTGCGCAGGCCAGGCAAATGAAGCTGCAGCAACTGAAGCAGGCGGACAACATCGTCCAGCTTCAGACCGAGGTGGACAGCGGTTTCGCCCCGGGCACCGGCAGGCATACGAAGGCCGTAACCGGCATCGTCGTCGACAACCTGAACAAGAACGTCATCACGTGCTCGCTGGATGGCAAGGTCAAGTTCTGGGACTTCCTCACAGGCAAGCTGCTGCACCAAATCAACTGGGCCCCGATGGCCGCCATCACGGGGTGCAGGTACCACGCCGCGAACGATCTGATGGCTTTCTCCTGCGATGACAACTCCGTCCGCGTCGTCGATCTCGAGACCAAGAGAACCATCAGAGAGTTCTGGGGCTGCCAGGGTACCATCAACGACTTCTGCTTCTCCAACGACGGCCGCTGGATCATCGCGGCTTCCCAGGACTGCGTCGTTAGGATATGGGACCTCCCAACCAGCCACCTCATCGACGCCATCCGCCTCGAGAAGCCCTGCACCGCGCTCGCTATGTCTTCCTCCGGCGAGTACCTCGCCGCCACGGTCGAGAACGAGCTCGGCGTCGCCATCTGGACCAATAAGTCCCTCTTCACACACGTCCCAACGCGCCAGATCTCGGACAAGGAGGCCGCGGTGCTCTCCGGCCCCACAACGTCCGGCGAAGGCAACGAGGGCCTGTTGGAGGCCGCCTTCGAGGACGACGCCGGCGCCGAGGACGAGACTGTCGTCGCGCCCAGCGTCGACCAGCTCAGCGCCGACCTCACGACGCTCAGTCTGGTGCCCAAGAGCCGCTGGCAGACCCTGCTCCATCTGGACCTCATCAAGCAGCGCAACAAGCCGACAGAAGCGCCCAAGGCCCCGGAAAAGGCGCCGTTCTTTTTGCCGTCCGTCGGCGCTGGCAAGCAGGCTGCCAACCAGATCGAGGGCGCCGCCCCTGACGCTGAGGGCGCGGAATCAAAATCACGCATCACCAAGCTGGAACGCGGCCGGCTGCAGGAAGTGTTTACCAGCAAACTGATTGACGGTGCCGCTTCAGGCGACTGTAAGACTTTCCCCTTTCTGACCTTTCAGGGCACGGATCCAATTAACTTTGTCCCAGTCGACGACTTCATCACCCACCTCAAGACCCTCTCCCCTTCCACAGCCGATCTTGAGCTCCGCTCCCTCAGCCCCGAGGACGGTGGTCTCCTGAACTTCATCCGCGCGCTGACGAGTCGGCTCGCGGCCCGTCGCGACTACGAGCTCGTGCAGGCCTGGATGACGGTGTTTTTGAGGCTGCACTTCGACTTGGTCATGGCTGACCCTGAGCTCCTCGAGGCACTGGGCGAGTGGAAGGCTCTGCAGGAGAAGGAGGCCGGTCGCCTTGATGACCTTGTGGGATACTGCAGCGGTGTCGTTTCCTTCCTCAGGAGTCCCCGGACATGAGGTGGTCAAATGTGTATGTGAGTTAGGGGAATGATGAGGGGCGAAAATAGACGACAGCAATGGATCGAAGAGGAGGAGTGGGAGGGCAGAGCGTGTGTGCAGATAGGCATGCTTTTTAATTGAATACCCAGAGAGTTCCAAGGGCATTATCTTCATCCTCGTGAAAGTTGTCTTTGCAAAAACATTTGGCTCGGCCTTGCATCGTTTGCTTTCGGCTACGCTGACGGGCCCTCAACACATTGTCTTTTCGATTCCAACTATTTTCGATTACGATACACTTTTAGCACCTACCTCACCCATACTTTTCAACCAATCTACAGCAAAGCTATCAAGGCAATGAGAGAAGCCACAGTGACGGCAAACGCAGCTCTGCTAATCTCCGCTGTGCTCGACGCGCCGTTGGGGTTACCTGAGGCAGAGGGAGTAGCTCCTGTGGTACCAGTGCCGTTACCACCGCCGCTTCCACCACTGGCACCGCCGCCGCTCGCACCTCCCGTGCTCGTCTGGCTCGACCAGTACGTCTGGTTCCACTCCTGGTAAGACAAGCTCGAGTTCAGCCTCAGAACCGGGTCCGTTTCATCGGCCGTCACCCGCGCCGTCGACATCATTCCGTTCCAGCAGTGCTTCGCGAAGCAGTCCTGGCACTGCTGCGGCAGCGCCAGGCCGAGCCGCGCGAGACTGCCGCGGATGGTGGCGCAGGCGAGGCAGGCGGGCCAGGCGGCGTCGATGGTGCCGTTGCCGTAGGTCGCGAGCTGGAAGGCGTTGTCGACGGTGAGGTCGAACTCGTTGTCCGTGAAGGAGGACTTGGTGTACGTGTAGTTGATGTAGCCGGACCAGGGCGAGTTGGGCAGGTAGAGGACGAGCGGGGTCGGGGCCGTGTCGTTGCAGCCGAAGAAGGTGGGCTGTCGGGTCATGTTCATGGTGATGAGGGTGTTGACGTCGGGGACCTTGGGGAAGGGGATGTTGCCCTGGGCGGCGGACTGGGCGGAATTGACGAGGTTCGTGCCGTTGACCCAGTTGTACATAAGCGAGTCGGAGGAGGCCTCGTAGACAATGACGAGGTCGACTTGGCGTTCGGGAATGATGAGGGGACGGATAGGGTTGGTCTCGCCCGCCATGCTTCCATCAAGCTGTGGTTGTTAGATTGCTGCTGGTGCTAAGTCTCTCAGGGATTGATATTGACATACCAGAAGAAGGTTATCAACGTTTTGCATGGCTGGGTTCATGTTCTCGAAGGGGTTCGGGTAGGTAGCCCACAGCGAGTCGTTGAACGACTGGTTGAAGTTTTGGGCGGTATTGATGACAAGCTGAACTTCGCTGTTCTCCTCCTTTCCAGGGGGCACTGTGATATTGGTCGAAGCCGTCTGTCTGCTCTCCAGCTCTCGCTTCGCAAACGTCGGGACGCCGTACCAGTCATCAATGAACCAGGCATCAAAAGCATCAGCCGTAGATCCCTGCAGGAAGGTGTATTTATCAAAGCCCATCACGCACTCGCTGGTGTTCTGCGCCGTTCCGTTCGACATGGACGTGCCGAGGTACATGGTAGGCATGAACGCCTGCACTCTGCCACCGCGCCAGCTTCCGAACTCGAACGGGGTGACCTCGTATGAAGTGAGATTGAAGCCATTGGTGGCGTTGCGGCCGGGCCACATGATGTTCTGGATGCTAGGCGACTGGCCTGGGATGACCTCGGAGAGGGCAAGGATGGGCATTGGCGCCTCTCCGCGGGATAAGACGGTGTTCTGAGCCGTGAGATCGGAGAAATTGCCGTATGTCTTGTTTTCTGGCAGATAGACGGCCCAGAACTTTCCAAAGGCATCAGCAACGGAGACGGGGAGGCCTTGCTCCGCCTTTGCGCCCATATCCTCGAAGATGTCCTGGAGGTATTGGTCCTGGTTGTCATCCTTGCCCTTGGTGTAGTCGACGGTGAAGTTGATCGCTTTTCTGAGTTCTGCGATGGAAACGAAGTCGTTGGCGGCACTGGTAGTCATACGTCAGTCACCACAGAAATGAAAAAGACAGGGAAGCCTTACAGGGTGCTGACTGTAAGAGCTCCTCCGCCACTAAGACCAGTAATGTACGACAAGACCTGCGTCAAACCACCCGTTTTGGCCTGCACCGCAGCTGGGTTGCGAGCGTCAAAGGCCTGCCAGATGCCGAGACCGCCGACACCCGACTGCGTGCCTCCTCCCGAGACGGAAAGGCCGACAACGGGGTAGCTTGTGGTGTTGAGCTTCTGGATGTAGTCCTGAACGTTGAAGCCGTCGATGTTGGCCAACGTCAGGTAGCTGCTCAGCGCCGGAATGACCTTCTCGCCACGGCTCACTTTCCATGACGACTCCGGCTTTGAAAGTCCCTGGGACATGTTAGAACATGTGTCGCCGTCACGTTCGGATAACTTACTTCTGAAGCAGCTCTCACTCTCAGGCCGTCAGGACATTGACCGTAGACGGGCGCGTACGGGTCCTGCTGGGAATCGTCGTCCTGAGCGCAGGCGAGTGCTGCGCCGAGCAGGGTGCTCGCGAGGAGACGGCGGTTCGATGTGAGATACATGCTGAGGAGTCTTTCCCAAGCTGTCAAAGTACAGACACAGGTGGAACGAGGCAGCTTTTCTCCCTTCTCTGAGGATGGCCTCTGGTTTTATCCCTCCATCTTGAGAACTGCAGCTGCGTTCGTGTCTTGCAAAAGCTTGCTCGGAAGCGCTGCCCAGCAGCATGCGGGGAAGCTTGCTACAGCTCTGACGAAGACGGCTAGACGGAGATCTGGTGGTGAGAGGCGCATTTTCGGAGCCCTCGCCGGAGCCTTGATCTTTGTGGAACTTGGGGGCTGAAGCTTGTCTCCTGCGAGCTGTCAGATCTGGGGCTGAACGCGCGAGTGCGCCGGCCCAATGAGACCGTCGACGTTGGCCGGATCGAGCTAGGTTGCACAGAGCCATCGCGTGTCATTTGGAACGGAATCCCTCGAACCCTTTGCAGGGCAAGTAGCTGTTAGAATAGGACGACAGGTACTTCATGGTAACATATCCCAAGCACCTTGGTTGATGATCGGCTGCAGTCGATTTCATCTAAGAAATTTTGTTGCAATTGGCAGGTTAAGGCATGCAAGACTGAGAAATGTGGTTACCGGGAGAAGCTGACACTTGCAGGTTGGGTTCGACAACAGCGTGCCTTTTGAGCTCTTGCTGTTCTTTCCGGGAGCTACTACTAAGTGTCCGATCGACGATCTCGGTTCATTCCTGCCAACCACTACAAGGACATGGTTCCTGGAACTAGAGCTCAAAAACCCCGACTATGCTGGGGATTGCTTTCAAAGAGTAATTTGGTGCAGTTTAAGAGGGTTGCTGTGGCTGCAGCGAGATTCTGTTTCCATGCCTGCGGGGTTGCGTACTGTTGCATGCGTCGATGGCTGCTGTGGCTTGGTCGCATTGAATTCTTGGAATGCGCCTGGTGAATATGGCTTATTCTGATGCAGACGAGCAAGAATGATCCATGCCTTCCTAGAAACTGAGAAGAATTGTATTTTCCATTTGTGTTTTCCGTTCGCTGAGAATCGACCATGGCCCGCGGTTCGCATTGGTGGTTATGCAGAAGCAGGGTTCCGTGTATGTCCGTCCGTACCCAATGTGAACGTGTTAGTGGCACAGGCAACTCAATGAATGGTGTCCGCTTCATCCGATGTCTAATTGACCTGTCAAGACATGAACATCCAGCCTACGACTCGTTTGTCGCCCGAAATCGTCCATCCCCAACAGTACTGAGTCGTAGCTTGACATGTGTCTTTGGAAGAGTGAATTAACCCCAGAAATAACGGCACCTTCCCGTCCTTTGGCGCCAAGGTACTTTCGGGCCCACTTTCGACGACAGGGCCCCACTTGCGCCATTTCTACCGCATTCATGTATGCTTTGCGGCCCAGAATCGTCACAACACATCCCGGTCAACATCAGACCAGGATTCGGGCCTCGTGGCGCAACGGTAGCGCGTTCGACTCCAGATCGAAAGGTTATCCGTTCAAATCGGGTCGGGGTCATTTCTTTTGCCTATTGCAGAGGCTGTAGAAGTCTCTTTTTGCTCTGGGAGTGTGTTGAGATGGTGTTGTTGACGTACAGGATTTGGTGAGCGATTTTTGCGGGTGCGGGGTGAGTACGTGGTAGGACAAGCCGGCTGAGTGATCACAACATTCAAGACATGCTACCCGTCTGAAATCAGGTTGCTGGCTCTCTTTTTCGAGACGAGAGTGTTGATTGTAGTTATGGCATCATACCTTGTTAGGCCTGCTGCCTCGCCGGTGAATTGCGCGTGTCGAGGTCAATGACTGGTCCAGGCTTCAAATGGTGGTCTTTCCAGCATAGAGAATCACTCTGAGCTCTCGCGGACTCTTGTGTGTTGATATATTGTTGCGGATACCGTGGTGAAATTGTGCACGATGTGGTTTTGTTGTATGTCGACTGACAGGTTTCCACTCGGGGAAGGCACTGTCTTGGGGACCTTCTCCATAAACAGCAACTGCAGGACAGGGGAACCATTGCAATTACAGATATTCTCGCGTCTATTCATCATCAACGTCTCGTTCATGAAGCATCTAATGTCTTCTCTTTAAGTCTACTGTATCATCTTTGCCACTCTTTTGGTCTTTCCCTCTCTAGTTGAAGTTCTCTCGGAACACACCCAACGCCACGGCTTTCCTTCGCAACGTCGACTTCGCATGCCCGTTGACACCCTCTACCGGCCCCCTCTCAAACGTGAACACCTCCTTGACACCAAGACTCTCGAGATAGTCCAGGTTGCGCTTGTAATTCGTCGCGACCTGGGCGATGCCGTGGCTGTCGTCAGAGAACGTGAACTCACCCCCCATCTCGAGCCATTTCTGCAAAATTCAAGTCAGCCCCAGCCCCAACAGCTTGACGAAATAAAGCACTCACCTCAGCAATGATTCGACAAGGATACGGCTCCGCAAGACCCTTCCTCAACGCGCTGCTGTTACACTCCAACAGGCCCCCGTACCCCTTCACCACCTCCAGATTCCTCACAACCCTCTCCCACACGCCCTTCCACTTCCTCACATCCCGCGCGGGGTCCTCGCTCATCAGGCGGATCAGGTCGAAGTGGCCGACCACCTTGGGCTCCAGCGCCGTGAGCATCTCGTGCTGCTGGTCGTAGTACCGCTCGTACATGCGCTCCTCGCACCCGCCGGCCGTGTTCATCGCGTCGACGTACATCTCGCGCGAGTAGTCGATCGGCACCGCGTTGACGTGGTGCAGCGAGCCAATGAAATAATCCACCGCCGGGTGCGCCGCGAGCGACCTGATAAAAGGCCCGTACGCGGGGCGGTACCACTCGCCCTCGAAGCCGATGAGCAGGTCGATCTGCCCCGCGTACTTCTCGCGCAGGCGCTGCGCCTCGGCAAGGTAGGCGTCGTGGCGAGGGGCGAGGACCGCGAGCGCCGCGGCCGGGTCGCCCTCCTCGAGCTCCTCCGGGTAGAGGTCCGCCGTCTCGAGGCGCGGCATGTGCTCCGTCAGGCCCATGGTCTTGTAGCCGATGCTGATGGCGTGCTGAATGATGGACTCGAGCTGGTCCTTGGCGTGGCCGGGGCAGAACTGCCCCGAGTGGGAGTGCATCGTGAACGCCATCTTGTCGGCTCTGGAGTGGGTGTTGGTGTTGTGTGTAAGTGAAGACCACGACGGGTGCGACGTTGAGGTGTGAGATGAGACGAACCGGAGGGCGGCCGAGGTGAATGAGTCAAGGGTATGACGTCTGCAAGTCCGCGAGACGCAGTTGGGGTAAAAAGAAGTCAAGGGGAGAACGATTTCAACTGAGAAGAACCGCAGACAAGTTTATCAAGCTCGACTACCAGGTACCGAGATGGCTCTTGAAAAAGATCGAACAAGTGGCGCGCAAGGCGTGTGTAATCGCCAATCAATGGTTGATAAGAGGCCAGGACTTCCTTCGTTCCCACGAGTCACCGCGGCGGGATGCAACATGCCCCTCCAAAGCCCGAAGCCGCTTTGCTGCATGGTCACTGAAAATATTTTCCCCACTGGACTGGAACCTTTTCGGGCCCCGACGGGTGGCCGTAGCAAATCACTGACGCTGGCCCGTCCACGTTTGACGTGCAGGAATTCCCAGCACCCAGATCCCTCCCGCATGCCAAGCTTCGCGCGTCCGCGGGGGATCGAAGTTCCCGGCACACGGGGCATCAACATCGTTGCATGTCACGCTGATTGCTACATGGGCACTTCTGGCTGGCTCTTTAGGTGCTTGGATGCATCTGGTGGCATTTCATTTCCTCTCCTTGGGAAAAGGTCGAGGTGATTATTACAAGTAGCGTACAAGAATGGTAACTCTAGACCAGGACAAAAAAGACCAACTCGGGACGGTGGGAGGGTATCATGACAGGCAGACTCGAAGCCTGCGACCGGCTCGCAGGCCAGCAAAATCCTTTAAAACAAACGGCAGGGCTCTTCTATATCGAATCAAGGGAAAATAAGACAAAACGAATAGGCGTTCTCAAAGTTTGCAGTTCTTGAGAGGATCCAAGTCAATCAATTCTCGACAAAAGTCCTCTTTCTAAACGCCAATGGGATTGGGATAATCCCCATTTGAAATTCGCCGCTGCTCTACTTCTGCGGCGTCTCGGGGATTTCCCAGATGGATTTGGCAGACTCTCCAGCCTCAGGCTTCACAGCAGGCTCTTTCTTGACACCAGGAGATTTGATGCCTGGAGGTTTGACGCCAGCAGGTTTGACACCTGAAGACTTGGCGGCAATAGGACCGTTCTTCTTCGGCTGCGCAAAGGGAATGGTCGACTTTGACGTGAAGACAGGAAGGTCTGCGCGCTTCATCTTAGCCAGCGGTGCCTTGGACGATGATGCTCTGGGCGGCGACAGCTTGGCGGGCGATGGCTTAGTCGGCGACTTCTTGGCCGGCGGCACCTTTGATGGTGACTTTACCGGTGATGATTTGACAGGTGTATTGGTGTTGGGCGGCAGCCACTTCAGTGGCTCTTGCGGCTTCATGGTGACTGGTTCCGGACCTTCCGGCTGGTAGTTGATAAACACATCAGAGCCCGACGACGTCTGCACTCCCGGCGAGACGACTGGCGAACTGGCAGGCAGCTCGACCTGAAGGGGATCCGACACGTTCGCAGACGCCTGCTCAATGATGGTCTTTGGCTTTGGAGTCGGCGCCAGAGGATCCGGCGATGACATGTAATCCCGCTCCGATGGCACCGGCCCCACAGGCGGCGTAGCAAGGGGCTCGTTCTCGGGAAGAACCATGGGAGCTTCTTCCTGAGGGGGAGTAATGATGGGCTCTTGGAACTCATAAGGGGGAGTGTTGACCGGTGGCGGTGTGACGGGCTGCTGCTCTTCAACAACGGGTGGCTCGTTGAGAACGAGCGGCTCTTCGGTGATAGGGGGCGTCTCGGAGGAAGTCGCGTCAACAGACGATGCCTCGACAAAAGGAGCCTCGGCAGAAGGAGCCTCGGCAGAAGGAGTCTCGATAGAAGAAGCCTCAACAGAAGTCTCGACGAAAGGCGCATCGATAGAAGGAACCTCTACAGCAGGTGGCGTCACTGCCGTCGTCTGCTCAGGCTGTGTTGCCTGCGCCTCAGCTGCTCGTGCCGCCTGCGCAGTCTGGGCTGCCTGGGCTGCCTGGGCTGCCTGGGCTGCTTGAGCAGCCTTTGCCCGCTCTTCCTTTTGAGTCTTGGTGATCAAGTTGATCTTGATCTTCTTCATACCGGCAGTGAGCTTGTCCATGTCGTCCTCAGATGCGGCCGCTGGTGTTGCCTTGGGCTTAGGCGGCTGAGACGGTTGACCGGGTTGAGGAGGGGTGGTCTTTGCTGGGACAGCAGGCTTCTTCACTGTTCGTGTGGTCTTGGGAGCTTCCTTCTTCGCTGCAGGAGCTCTTGTTTTCTTCACGTTCAGAGAAGGCCCGGCGGTGGTCCTAACACTCATCGAAGATTCGGGGCGAATGGTCATCGACGTGTCCGGTCGCATCGTCATCGAGGTCTCAGGACGCATGGTCATAGAAGTCTCGGGACGCATGGTCATTGACGTATCAGGTCGTACACTCATCGAGGTGTCAGGACGGTAAAGACCTCCGTTATTCTCGTATGGCGCTGCAGTCGCCGTAGAAACCACAGATGACGCAGCACTAAGACGTCTACCGGGTCGTTTGGCTGCTCCATTGGCCTCAGAAGGGATACCTCGGGCGTTGGCCTTGGAATCATGTTAGCTAGGGGTTCTTGGATGCATCTCAGAAGTGACAAAGTATACCTTATCCGACGAAATTGCGGCAGAACCGGCCACCGTCCTTCGCCTGTTCTTGCCCTTATCATCCTCTTCTGCGTACGTCACGGGTTTGCGCTCACGCAGCGACATGCGAGAAGTCGGCCTGCTTTCCGTAGGAACAGGAGCGGGAGGCGCTGGCGGCACGAGGTCAGGGTTGAGAATCGACTGACGATCTCTGCGCGCCCTCGTTGCCTCCGCGTTCAGGTCCTCCGGTTTGCAGCTATCGACCTGGCGGTCGGAGGGGATGAGCAATCTGCTCAGCTCATGAGCCGCGATGGTCCAATGAACGTCGGGAGGAGGAGGCGTTGGCGGTCGGGAATATACCATTCCGTGACCAGAGGCCATTCGTCTCAACCGCGTGGGATCCACGGCCTTACCGATAGATGCCGCCGTAGGTGTAGAGTAATTTCCTGGCGTAACCTGGCGTATCATCTTCGGGCTGGCTGGGCGGTTTCCCATCGCCACCTCGAGCTCGTCAAGCTCTGAAGCCGCCCACCATGACGGGTTGTAAGGGTGCAGCGAAGGGAAGGATGACTCTGTGGCCATGGGCTGGCCCTCACGAATCGCCCCTATCCTCTGTCCCATTTCATAGCCCAGTGATGAGCGGCCCCTGGATTGCTCTCCCGCCGTCTGGTCCCCTGAGAGCCCGCTCAAGTGGCTGAAGATGCCAGAGTACAGCGCGCGGTCGCTGTAACCTCCCTCGAGGACACTGATGACACGACCATCCACACTCAGCCCCTCCTCTGCAGCAAGTTTGACGACATCTTGGGCAATACGGGCGTAGAATTCGGTAGGCACGTTCACATTATGACGCTGCATACCCTTGGTTTCCCACTCGCTGGCGTCAAATCCTGCGGAAAAGAAAATAGCCGCCTTGGGCGGCAAGTTGAGAGCACGCACACGAGCAGACTGTGTCTTCAAGTAGCTTCGCGTCTTTTCGAGAATGACGGAGTACTTGGTCTCATACAATTCCCAGAACTCGTCCGGAGAGTCCCACGATCCCAAATGAACGTTCCACATGTTTTGTCCATGAGCATTGTCAATGCACAAACTTGCGTTCTTCACCTTCTCCTCATCGCCCATCTCACAGGGATACGAGTTGATGTCGTGGAGACTGAAGTATCCGATGGAGGCCTTCTTCCACGCAGCGGCGTTCTTGGCCATGTTCACTCCTCGGGAGTTGTGCGCCCAGGCAATGGCTTGAGAGCCGTCACCATGGTGGAGATCGAAGTCGATGATGGCAGCGTGCGTCAAGCCGTGGTTCAAAATGGCATGCATGATTCCAACATGGACGTTGTTGACCCAGCAGAAACCCGAGGGATAAGAAGCCGAGCAATGGTGCCCTGGCGGCCGTACTGCGACAAATGCTCTTCGGGGACCAGAAGTAAAGACCCTGTCGACGGCTTCGCATACAGCGCCCAGCGCACCTTCAAAGGCTTCCTGGGACTCCGCGCAGAGGTAAAGATCGCCCTCGTGGAACTTGGCAGGCGGGCCATCCGCGCCTCGGTTCATCTCCGGTCGCTGGAGCTCTTTACCTCCCATGGACAGCTTGGCCTCTGCTACCTCGCACATCGTCTTGAGCTCCTCCATCCACTTGGTCCCATGCACGTTGGTCACCGCTGGTGAGTTAAGAGACAGCCTGCGTTCGGTTTTGTAGATGCGAAACGGAATGTTCGGAATGGTGGAGGGATCCAGACTCGGATGGAGAGGGTAGGAACCGTCGCAGTGTCGCTCACCCAGTCGCACGTACGCCATTGCTACTCCCAACACACCGGCCTTGATTCTCTCCGGTCGCTCGACGATGGTGCTTAGGGCTGCCTTGGAGGTCTTGGGCCGGGAGAAGCGGTGTCCGTAGCAGGCATCGTGCAGAATGACTACGGTCTCGGTGCCAAGCGTGGAAAGGGGGGAATGGTGTGTCGCAAGTTCGGTCTTGAAGTAGTCGCGGGCAATCGTGTTCGCTGTAGGGGGAGGCTTGATGTACTCAGGGGGACTCGTTCGTAAAGGGGATTTGGCAACAGGCGAGGAGGCATGTGCCATGCTCGTCCGTCGCCCGCTCACGGAGTGCAAGGAGCTTGTAGAGGACTTGCGCTGGAGAGTGGGCGTCGCAGATCGCTGCGGCAGCGTCGGGGTGGAGGATCGGGACCGGGACAGTTCTCTTGCGAGGGAGGGGCTCCGGGAGGGCATTCGCGGGCTCGGGGCCGGAGAGGCTCTGTTGACAGCTGGTCTCATTGGCGACAAGGCACTCGGGGTGCGGGGAGAGTTGGCGACAGGAGAGCCAGTCGAAAGAGAAAGCTGCCGGAGCGAATGCGACAAGTCCTTTTCGGCATCGGGGGGTGTGTTCAACGTCGATTGGCGCCGCGATGGCGCTCTATTGTAAGGAGAGGCCATGGCTGACGCGCGAGTCCCATGGATCGTGCAGAATCTCGCAGTCGTGCAGCAGGACTAGGCCGGACTAAGAAGATGGTAAAAATAAGGGTTGACGTTGGAGAATGGAAGACCCGAAAGGTGTTGTTTTGGGCTGGAATTGTCAACTTTCGGCTTACCGTAGTGACAGGGTAGAGTGGCAGGGTCTCTGTCCAAATACGTCAGGCGAAGGTGGGTGTGTCATTTGGTTGTTGACCGCCCGCCTGCCCGCCAGCGCATCGTCAAAAAAAAAAGTCGCGTCCACTTTGTGTACAAACACGCGTCATAACCCGTTGCATAAATCCATCACGTGGGGCACCAGCAACAACAAAAGGGGAGGCGGGGCAATCCCTCCCATTTCTCGAATCTCTCTTGCCGGGAGCAGCCACTTATTTTAATGGAGTTCCGACGGCGCCATGTGGGGGAAAGATCTTCGCCGGGACAGTGCATCTTTAATCACTTCACTCATTCTGTTTCCTTTCTTCTGCTTCTCCCATCCCAAGTTCAAGTTTCTCGACTCTAATCTTCTGCAACACCGACTCAAGTGAGACCAACGAGACCCAACTTCTTCAACATCCCACATTTCACGTAGCGGCCCCCATATTTGTGACACAAGATCTGAGCACGTTCCGATTCACCACACTGCATCTTGGAGCAATGACCACGAGCTGGTGTGGGCCGCCTGTATGGCTCCGGCTCCGATCGGGAGACAAAAACGACTTGATCTCGGTTGCCGGCAAGGGGCTCGATTTGTGGTCAATGAATGGCATGGGTTGATACCGATGCAACAGGAGTGGCTCTTCCATAAGTCTGGGGTTGAGCTGTGCAAACCTACATAAGGTCGGAGATGTGCACGCACCTCAAGACGAGGGAGCTTGTGAATGTGAGAGCTGCAATGAAATGGTGAGGAGTTGACTGGGTGGCGCACTCCCTCTCATATACCTAAGATTTGGGCAACCTGTAAGTCTTGCTTGCGCCTTCATAATCGCCCGGCATAGCCACTGCCGCCCATCGTCGGTGGTTTTACATGCGCCAAGGCGGCGCGGGTCTCTGCCTCTACGCATATGACTTCCTCTTTCTACGCTCTGGTTCGTCGGTTTTCAAGGTGTGCCGCCTGCTAGCCGTGCAGGTTTCTGGCCATGGAGTGACCATCTTCAACCCTGATCATCTTTCTGCATCGCCTCTACCCGCATTATCTGCCTTACAGTTATTGGTCTGCTATGACTTGGGCAAATTGCACAAGACCTGTGCATCCCGCCCGGTTGCCTTAAGCGAATGGGTGGCATTATAGTCGGGCGTCGAGGTCTTCGAGGGCCAAAATTGATGGAATCTTTCATATATGGCAGCAGCGCCGATCTTGGATATCGTTGATGTGTGAATAGTCTTGATTGTATTAGCAATAGTTCTTCGTTCCGATAACACTCAAGAGCAGCATACGTCAAAATGTACATCACTTCCTTTCCTTCTAGCTCTCTGAGTCTCCTAGGCCTTTTCATCGCCTCGTTTATCGATGCCCAGAAAACTGTCACTCCCGACGCATGTGCCATCGCGAGGTCCGTCGACAGCTCTTGCACCGCAAGATTCAGCATTGACCGAGCTAAAACCGGGCTTGATACGACCTGGACAACGCCCCCGGTGATAACTTATGACGGAGTGGATGTCGTCAGATGTTTCTGTTGTCTGGAAGAGGCGCCTCTGACGCCCGTCTGGTCCTCATGTGCAGCGCAAATCGAGACCGCAAGCCCAGAGAAAGACCGTGAGTCGACATCTCTTGGTTTGCCTGACAATCGAGCTGATGCAAAAGACATATAGAGTTCCTCGAAAATCTCGAAGATTGTCTAGGGTTCGAGGAGTGCCGCGTAGAGACTGCGACTCCGCCAGCCTGTCAGAGCATGAGCGACTGGGTCATGGGGTGCTCTTCGCATGTCAAGCCGGAGACCATGTCATCAAGTGAGAGATTCTCGCGCATGGAAGAATGCCTTTGGTATGTATTGCCTTTGACTGCAACATTGAGATCCTTGACTAACAAATGGCAAGCCCCACGTCTGCTCCAGGTGCCTTCAATAACGCACACGAAGCTTGCGGCAACTGGGCTTGGATTCACAACCCTGAATATGGTTCCTGTAAGACTCCTCAGTCTCAGAGTCCCGGTTAAGATACTTCACGTCCATGGCTGACCCGTTCTTTGCTTGCAACGCAGCTATGCAATCCATTGCTCCGTATTGGTGTAACTCGAATGTGGACACCACGATTTACTCGGCCACGGCCACAAGCTCTGTCTCCTTTGAGGATTTATCCAGTACCGCCTTTGCATCTGCGTCCCTACCATCGACATCAAATCTCTCTGTCCCCACCTCTACGATGAACTCCGCAATACCGTCGAACACGGTAGTAAGCCAAGCCACGAACTCGTCTGGACAGCCGAACACAAGCATTGTCGTTGTCATCGCTGTAGTTGTGATCGTGTTCATGATGGTGGGAGGTATTGCGATATGGTCGAGCGTGAAGCGTCCACGGAATGATCACGGCATACCCATCTGAGGAAGGTCTGGGAGAAAGGGGGTTTCGGGAGACTGTACCTACAACAGGGCGCAATAGCAACATGTTGTGGCTTCGCGGAAGTAGTGTTTTGTTGAAGGCTGCCCATACTATTCACAAAGACAGGAGCTCAGGTTCACTCCTTCACTGTTCTTGGGGGTTCCAAGACTACTGTCATCCCTACAAGTCTTGCCAGTCCATGACCTAAATCTACACAACAAGGTTACTTCATCAGTCTCAGCATCTTCTACTAGGATACTTTGGATACAACGCAACGCCAACACTCAGTGGGAGACTTTTCGTGGTGGATGTTCATTCGGATCGAATCAAGGCTTTAAATCCACCCGGCAAGACCAGTGTTGTGATTCATGGACTATGAAGTGGACATTTCACTCATACCAACCAACTAAGTGAATTGACATCCCTTTCTACCAGTAGTATAAGATGTTGCCGAGGCTGTCTGATACAGCATGTTCACAAACCAGAGTCACGTATACAACAGTCAGCAGCAGGGTTCAAAATCGCAAGCATCAACATGGCAGACAGACTCGACGACGTCCCCGAGATCGCGGATACCTGCAAACTGATCCTTGCTCGCACCAACAAGTTTTTGGCCGACAAAGACAGGAACCCCAGAGTCGTAAGGCCGAGCCCCTCTTGTATTCCCCGCGATATCTCGAAGCAAGTCCTGTTAACAAACCCCACCCTTCTTGCAGACAGACGAAATGTGGCGGCCCGCCAACTGGGCCATCACCGAAACCACCCGTACAATCCCAAAGATCAAGGAGACCATCCAATACATCCGAGAGATCGCCGACGCCGAGCGCAAGAAGCTGCCCACCATCAATTACACCGCGTGGACGCAGTCCATGAGACGGGCGCCGGGGGACCCGTACGCGCGAGGACCCCCTGGTGACGATGTTCTGATTAACGACATCCCCCGCCTCGCTGACAGGTTTACGGCGCTTGCGGAGCGGTTCCGGGAGCTCGAGGAGAAGCCGTACAAGCGCGACGATGTATGTTTGACAGATCTTGGGCATTCTATTTTGCGGGGTAGTGTACTGATTTTGCCGATAGGATGTCATGGCGGCCTATGACCGTGTCAATGTGGTCTTGATGGAGTGCCGGCTGGTGAAGAAGTGGCTGCCGACTGCTTTGGATGCCGTTACTTATATTCTGACGGGGGAGAGTCGTGAATTCCATTCGGACTCTGAAGATTCCAGTTGAAGTGAGATGCCGGACTTGATCAGGGGACAAGCGTAGTTCTGCAAGCATGGTCTGCAGGTTTAGTGAGAGACGATATCCTTCATAGCAAACTTGATTTTAGGTGACACATCAGATCATAGATACGCCGCTGTTGGTTGTCTTGAAATTTGGGCTTTATTCTTGTTATTTTACAGAACCATACATAGTACAAGGCACGCTTGCCCACGTCAGCCAGAGAAGACGGTTCTAATCTTCAATCATCCTGGGCATATTTTTCATCTCCTTCATGGCTACGACTCAAGACAAGTCAATGCCATAGGTCTCCTTGCTTCCAGTCTGCTCAGGCTTGTACGGCTGCTGAGGTGTGCGGAAGTACGGCGTAGGAGCGGCGGCAGCGGCTCCCCTGAGCCCCGCGAACGGCGCCCTCGGCTCAGCTACCGGAATCTGGGAGACGTCCTTGTCATTGTAGATTTGCTCCTTGCCGGTCATCTCCTTGAGGACTGATTGCGACTCCCCTTCGGCAGCGTCAAGGCCAATCAGAATGCGGCCAACAGAGCTCATCCATGCCGACACTGGCTTGACGTAGGCCTTTGCACCGCCCTTGACATCGGGATCGAAAGAGGTGATGCCAGCAATGCGGTTCTTGTGGTTGCCTCTGAACGACCTCTCGTTAAAGGCGTTGTCGCCCAGGGGCACGTCGGTGACGAAACCGGCCACGCCAAGCTTGGCGTGTTGGGTGCCCTGTCGCGGCGCGATGATACGCGCCAACACGGGCGTGTGTTCCGCCTGCGGTCCGTAGACGGGGTGGTTCTCGGCAAAGGCCGAAGTACGCAGGTAGGAGATACCGGCGGAAGGGTGGGACATCGGCGGGCCAACTTCTGCCCATGTGCTAGGCCGGTTGTTCTGGGTCACGTCGACGAAGTTTTTCGCTGTGGGGGGTGGTTGGAGAGGAGCAAGATCCAGGAATTTGCTGATGTGGGTGAAGAGAAGTACGCGGTCGGCACGTATCTTGCGCTGGTATTGAAGAACCTGGTCCTCGGTGATGTCCTTGGCTGTGACCGGCTCCGGGGCCTCGCTGCCTCTGTCGAGAGCAGCTTGACGCCTGTCTTTGTTGATGTCTTCGGCGAGAACCTCCCTGAGATAGTTTCGGAACTCCTCGCGCTTGCTACGGACGCTCTTGCGCAAGTAGCGGTCGAATTCGCCCTCGGTCAGACCAGCAAGCCAAGGACCCTGGAACTTCCACCTGTTATCCTCGGCGGCACCGTCCTCCAGTGTTGTGAAGTCATGCTCGTCCTCGAAGACGGATTTGGGAGCGGCATTCAGGGTTCCAAGGCGAACCCTGTTCGAGGTGGGTAGTGAGACGGGGAGGTTCATCTCCTGGAACTTTTGGAGGGTGATGGCGTGGTCGGCGGCGGAATTGTAGTCGGTGACTCCCTCAATGGTATCGATCTGTTTAACTCGCACAATTGGCGTCGAGGTCTTGATCGTCTTCTGGATGGGAAGGGAGCGCTTGAAACCCCAGTCGCCGAGTTTCCTCGAGGACTCGGGGGTAGTGATGGCTTGATGTGTGGGATAATCGGTCGTCGCGCTGGGGGAGAGGCGGCGAGCGACGGCACCAGCCTCGCCGCCGGGTTGCGGAAGCGGATTCGGAATGGTGAACATCCGCGAGGAGCGCAGAAGCGCTCCTCCGGGCGTCAATCGGGCAGACATTGCGGCTGTCTGAGCACGTCGTCGGAGGCTCGGTCGTCAATCACAGGTCTCACAAGAAATGGCGTCGTTGCGGGAGAAATTTCAATTGGAGTAGGCCGGAATATGCCGGAGCCGTCTGATTGGACAATAGCTACCCCTGCTGGCAGTGAAGCGCTGGGGCCCGGGGGTCGAGTCCAGGCGCGGGACGGGAAGGGTCAATAACTGCGAAGTCGAGCACTCAAGGTCGGTCCAAGTCTCCTACATGGCTAATCTTGCTCTACGATTTCTACGAAAACTTTTACTCGGTTCAATGAACCATCATGCAGTTTTACTAACAGTTTTCTGGTTAATATATTACATGCCTTGGGACGCCAATCGAGTGCAGTGACAGTGACGAGTACCTGTTGGTCCCCCACTAAGACGTCCAGCCCATGCACACCCCACCACGAATCACAGGTGCCTTGTTAGGAAACTGCTCTTTCTAGCGCGGGCATCGAATTTGGCAACTCACATTTTCCAACCACTCTCTCTCACTCGACTCTCTCCGGCAGCTTGCGGACTGCACGATCGTCCATGTGGGCAGCGAAAAGGATGGCGTCAACCACCGTCGGGTCCTCGCCCGCGCTCACCTTCGAGCTCGTTGCTCGCTGTTCAGTAGGTAGCCATGCGATTGATCGCATGACTCTGCCTTGGCTGGACGGTGCTAACAAACTAGGCTAGACGACAAGAGCTCGCGCATCCATCCTGACGCTTCCTCATGGTTCGGTCCAGCTTCCCATGTTCATGCCGGTCGCAACCCAGGCTTCGCTCAAAGGCTTGACCCCCGAACAGCTCGAAGAGACCGGTTGCCGGTTATGTTTGAACAACACCTACCATCTTGGCTTGAAGCCTGGACAGGAGGTTCTCGATGCCGTGGGCGGGGCGCATAAGCTCCAGGGATGGAAGCACAATATCTTGACGGATAGCGGCGGGTAAGAATACACAGGATCTGCGTGCAAATGGAACTGCGACTGACGTCCTACAGCTTCCAGATGGTCAGTCTTCTCAAGTTGGCCCACATCACGGAAGAGGGCGTGCGCTTCCTCAGTCCGCATGACGGCTCGCCGATGCTTCTGACGCCGGAGCACTCGATGTCTCTGCAGAACTCGATTGGAAGCGACATCATGATGCAACTAGACGACGTCCTGGTCACAACATCTCCGGATGCCGCCCGCATGCGCGAGGCCATGGAGCGCAGCGTACGTTGGCTTGATCGCTGCATTGCTGCGCACAAGAACCCCACTACCCAGAATCTCTTCTGTATCATCCAGGGTGGTCTCGACCTAGAAATGCGCCGCGAGTGCACCCGCGAGATGCTCGCCCGAGACACCCCTGGAATTGCTATTGGTGGACTGAGCGGTGGTGAGGCCAAGGCCGACTACTGTCGCGTTGTCGAAACGTGCACCAAACTGCTGCCTGATCTCAAGCCGCGCTATGTGATGGGAATTGGCTACCCGGAAGATTTGGTAGTGAGCGTTGCGCTGGGCGCAGACATGTTCGACTGTGTCTGGCCCACGCGAACAGCACGTTTTGGTAATGCAATCACGAAAGCTGGCGTCCTGAACATCCGTAACTGGAGGTACGAGCATGACTACGGTCCTATCGAGGAGGGCTGTGGTTGCATGTGCTGTAGAAGGGGCGAGGGCAGTTTGAATGTCACCCGGGCGTTCATTAACCACAACG